AACTTTCGTAGCTTTAGTAAGAAAGATTTATCTTTATAAATAACGTTGTAACATACAACAAGATTTATCTTTATAAATAACGTTGTAACATATACATAATGTGTATATGTGTGAGCGCCTAATACAAAAAACACTTGGCGTTGGGCGAGGCAACTTCTAAAAATTGCCTAGTTGCCTAGGTGCTTGATAACTATGCTGCATACCTTATAAATCGTCAATCGAGAAAGCGTTCTTGATATCTAGCTAGTGAAGGTTCCAATCAAAATTTGTTGCCAATGAAAGGAGGACTCTAATGGAAATTATCAAAAAAAGGACTCTAATGGAGTTCATCTTGGCTACAAGTGCAAAAGCCTCCACATAGTCTACCTCATACACCTGAGTAAACCCTTTTGCTACCAATCTAGCTTTACACCTTTCCACTGTACCATCAACCATCAACCTTATACTTGACTATGAACACCCACTTACATCCCACTAGTTCTTTTCCTTCAGGAAGATCTACCAATTCCTGAGTGCCATTTTTATGTAAGGTGTTACTTTCTTCTTTCATTGCATTTGTCTATTCACGTATAGATAAAGCTTCTGCCACATTCTTAGGAATCAAAACCTTGTCAATGGAGGTAAGAAAAATATGGAAAGAGGATAAAACATGATCATAGTAAACAAAGTGAGAGATAGGATGTTTAGTAGTACAAGATCTAACACCCTTATGGAAAGAGGATAAAACATGATCATAGTAAACAAAGTGAGAGATAGGATGTTTAGTAGTACAAGATCTAACACCCTTTCTTTTAGCAATAGGAATATCCAGATAATCAATAGTAGAAGTATCTACATCCATGGGGTCAGGCATATCAATAGGAATGAGAATACCTGGTTGAGAAGGATTTGCCTCTGGAGTGCCTAATGGCATTGGTTGCATTGATTTAGGTTGTTCCACAACTGTTGAACTCTGCTGTTCCTTACAACGATGAAAGAAAACACAGTATGGTGGAGGACCAGAAAGGAGGAATCTGAAGTTGAGCATATTTCTCCTTAACCCTACTCTCCCCTTGAGGAGAAACATGGAAGAAGGGTTTGTTCTCGAGAAAAGGACACTTCCATGGAGACATAATACTTGTGATAGACAAAGATCAAAGTATCAATAGCCCTTTTGAGAGGAAGAATAACCTAAGAAGACACACAAATAACCTAAGACCTAAGCATCTTAGAGGACGAGTGTCTACAATGTTCAATTGACCCATTTGACACTGCAACTCATTTATTGACATAGACTTAAATAACTCTAGAAACACAATTTTAAAGGACTTAAAGGACAAATGACCAAGATGACTATGCCATAAATAGGCTTGACTCTTACTAAACTTACTTGTAGACTCTAAAGTAGCAAGGCCAGCTTAATTCTCCAACACGTAGAGACCAGCCACCATAGTACCTCTACCAATTGTCTTCCCAAAGTTCAATTCTTGAAACACATAAGAAGGGAGAAAGTTACTAAACAATTTATGGGGTGAGTAAAAATATTGCTAATGGAAAGTAAATTAATAGGCATTTTTGGAACATGTAGCACATTAGAAAGCGTGAGGCCAAATGGGAGATGGTTCCTTAACAAGCTATGGTAGAGAACAATTTATCAGCTTGTCTCTCCTTGCCTCTCCCAGAGAGGAGGTTATATGCCTGAATCATGTTGGACTTACCCACCATGTGATTTGAGGCACCAAAATCAATGATCCAAAGAGATTCAGATGTGTGAGATGACACATGGAAGGCAGTGGCAGAGTTACTTGATGTAGACGCAAAGGAGGTAGATAAAGTAGGACCAGAGTCCACCCGACGAAGTGTCCTACCATACAGTTCCAAATGGTTACGGAAAGAGTTGATTATCTCTTCCTTCAGATCAGAAATAGAAAGACAATCCTGACATACAAGTGTACAACGGGCACGTAGTCTCTTGAGTTGCCACATTTGTTGAATTATACTTTTTTTTTTGGCTTTGCTGGATTGGCTTCTTATTCTAATCATATGATATTTTACTCAACTCCTAAGCCCACTTTGACTTCCCATGGAGGTCCCAATAAGTCTCTCTAGTGTGTCTAGACAATTGATAGTGAGTACACCAAAGTTTGTCCTTGTCCTCCACTCTTTTTTAGGAATGACCTGTCTTAAAGGAGTTACCACCATTTTCACAAACCAGAGGTCTCCACCAAGGTTCAAAATATCGTTACATATTGGCCCGTATTGGCCGATACATATCATATCGTGGCCTTCCTGATACATCCCTAGAGGGGGTGTTTTGGGTCAGACCATGGTTCAGAGGGTAGCCTGGCCTTAAACCAACCCCTCTGAACCAGATTCGAAAAAAAAATAAAAAAACACAAAAAAAGCACCAATACTGGCCGATATGCCTTACCGGTGTATCTGCCTGTATCAATACTTTGAACCTTGGTCTCAACCACAAAAAAGAAATCTGGTATAGGACAGTCCGCATACCTGGCAAGACAAGACAGCACTACTGGGGGGCCAGAAACACAGATCTACAGTGCCGGGTTCTCCACCAGACCCAAAACACTGCTGTTATCACAATGAGGTCACACAATTACCACAGTCACCAAACACCACCCATCTGGGTATGACTGTACAAGAAGGACCACACGATCCATACAGGTGTTAAACACCACAAAAAAAACTTCACAGCATCCTGTCCACCACTAGCAAACAGCTATCTTGGCACACAACCAAGAAATAAAAGGAGAAGGAAGATCAAGACTACTCCCAAATCATTCTAATGTGATTTCTCGTGAGATCAATCTGGAAATCAGCAAGGAAGGGGGAAAAGAAAAAGGAGTGAGAGAGGAGAGAAGAAGTGAGAAACTGAGATTTGGAGAGGCAAAAATCTCTGGCTGGCAGCACCAGCTTTCTATTATATAGTAGGGCAACATAAATAAACCAATAACAGTAAGCAAAAAGACCACAGTACTCCTGCAGCCCATAATACATTAAACATTAACAGTAACACTCTTTATTTGCTTTTGTATTGATGAATTTTATGTGGGCTCTCGTAAACGAGATGTCATGTCAATGTTGGATTTCTTCACTCTATTTCTTTAGAGGTATTTCTAAATGGCATTTCCTTTTTCTTCTAACTTATTTGACACAAATGAACAAGTACACACTGAATTTCATTTCTAGTTAAACATTACTTGGTAACAAATACTACCATCTTAGACGTATTTCGTAGTTATATAGTGTTAGGATCAATGTTTTAAAAACCAAATGCAGATCAACCTGGTTTTGTTTTTGGGGGATGGATCACTGGTTTGGTTGTCTGGGGCAAACAGGTTGGGCTATTACACATAATGGTAAATCTAGATCCTTAGTTCAGAATAACTTAAAAATATGTGTGAAGTAAGAATGAAGGAGGTTTGCTCGAATGGGTTGAATGACGGGAGGAGGTCACTAATTGGTGATCTATGGCAACTTGTAAAATTGAAATGAACTATGTCCCATGACTGTGTTGAACAGTTCAGGGGTTTAAATGTCTAGGTTGAACAGGTTTTGGCCATATTGTTATCTTGGTGATGGGTTGAAAACACTGGTTAGAATTTAAAAACTTGTTAACTATTTTATAATATATATTTTCTATAGATGTGTCCACAAATCCAAATATTTTCATCATTCTGCAAAATCAGATGTTTAGACATATGTGGGTTGCTTACTCCTATGTCGATGTGCATCTCCATGCAAACACTGGTTGATGTCCTTCAATTGAGTCTTTGGGGTTCTTCATAGGCATAAATATCTTTGATCTAAAGCTACCTTCTAGTTATTGTCATCGTTCCCCATTAGATTTCCGTTTTAAAGGAATTAAAATAGTATATTTAGGATTTCCTATCTAGGTTTTGTAGAAACTAGTAGCTATAGGTTTCTAGGATGAACCAATATGCTTCAGGAGCTAGTCTTGATTATACTGGGTCCTGTTCCATGGAATTTAAGTGGGAAGTCCTGTAGCTGCACTCAGAATAAATTTTTTAATAGTTTTCTACATTAATATCATTTCTATCATTGTTTACAGTTTAGAAACATGTAGAAAGGAAAAGAACAGTATTAGAATATGGGAAGTATAAGGGGGTTTACAAGAAGACACTAGTATGATACTATGGTATGTCAGATTGTTAGTGTATTACTGCATGAAAAACGCTAGAAAGAATCTAAGACATGAACTGTGTACCGTACCCTAAAGAATAAAGAAATTTTTTTTTTTAATAGAGAGAAAGATGATGATGAGTCAGAGAAACAAGTAAAGGTCGGTGATGGTTCAGCTCGTAATAAGGTTAAGGAAACTGATGTTGGATATCAGTCTATGGGGGAGAATCTGATGAAAATGAAGAACAAAAGGTGCATATGTATAGTGGAAAGGTGGAGTTGAGTAAATTTATTTATTGTGAGTTGGAGATAGAAGCATTGGTTGTCTTTTACATAGGGCAATAAACGCGGCCAGGAAAGTATTTCAGATGCAAGAGGAAAGAGAAAGGATTCCATTAGTGGAAGAAGAAAAGGAGAATAGAGGATGTTGAGCTTGGACTGGGTGGTTGTCGTAGATTCAGAAAGGGGCAGTGTGTAGGATGATAATAGAGGTGGATTGGAATGAATTGGGGAGGGGGTAAGAGGGTTGTTTGAATGTATAATGTTGGATCGTAGCAAGTTGTTGGTTGATAAGATTGGCAAGATGGTATGTTGCTTTCTGTTGGCAGTTGGTTAAGGGTGTGCAAAGTTTTTTATTTTGGGTTGTTCTTTGTGATGCCATATCTCCCATGGATGTAGCTATCTGCTTTTTGCTTTTTTTAGTAAGTCTTTTTATTTAGTATGAAAAGTAAATCCTTAGGAGATCTTTTTATTGCAGTTATTCACAGCTAAAATCTATAAACTTCATGCTTACCAAGCACTATATGTACTGAGTTACACTAGCGTTTAATCTTTCTTCTTTCTTTTTAATTTATTAGGTGTCAAACCCATCCCCTAAAGAATTATTGGACCGTCAGACTCAGGAGTTAGGGAGGTATGCTTTTAATTGTATTGGATTGTTCTGTAATTGTTCTGAAGGTTTTAATTTTTCCTTTTCTAGTATTCTCACACTTCTCTTGATTTTTTAGCAATATACATCTTGTATTTTTTTGGCAGGACAAATAATAGCAAAGGGCCTTCTTCGGATGTTCTTCCATTGCCATCAGGTGCTGATAAAACTGATAGTGCAGTTGCTCTGGTTAAATCAGGTTCCGAGAAAGTAAAGTCAACTCCAGCAGGAGAATATCTTACTGCTGCATTGATGGACTTTGATCCTGAACAATATGACAGCCTCGCCACTGTAGCTGATGGAGCAAACAAGCTATTAATGCTGGTATTTTGAGTTAGTTTCATTTGCCAGCCTGTGACTATCTCTCAAAAGAAGAAATAACTGACTAATTTTAGCAAGGAAAATTAAAAGTAAGGTTATAAGTTAGAACTGAAGTTAGTGGCAGAAATGGGCAATACCAAGTTAAATATTTTTCTGATGTCTGTGCAGTTGTGTTTTTTTTTTTGGATAAATAAATTATATTGGATTATAGCAGGCCATTTTTTTGAAAAGAAATAAAAGGAAAAATTACTAAAATTGAAAAAACAACATACAATAATAGTTGATGAGAAATTACCCCACAAAACCAAAAAAAAAGGAACCCAACACCATCCAAACAAACTAATGAGAACCGCCCACTTAAACTAAACCGCCCTAATAGAAACAAAACAAATGAATCCAATTCCCAAACAAAATTCCAATTAATGTTTCCAAGCCACTAGACCACCACCAATGCTTTTAACCTCCCAACGAACCTCCTCAAACCTTTCCTGATGACTCCTCCTCAAGCTCAGAAGCTCTGAACTCAACCATTCTTCTCAATCTTACCCCTTTCCAACACCATAAATGTTTTCCCTGCTAAATCCTCCACAGAACTGCCTTTTGGCTGCGGAAAAACTCTATAAATGAATTTGCTTCAAACTTACCAGTAAATTGGCTTAAATTTATTTATTGAAAATTTTTGGATCCATCTGGAGTGGCATTTTTATATGGACATTTTTGTGATTTGACCAAGAACTTGTTTTTCAAGTTTAACCTTTCATGTGATGCAGAGATGCTTATCTGAATATGCTGTATGACTACTTGCTTCTATTATTGTTTAAGAAACTATTCACACATTTTTTATTTTAAATAGAAATTAATCTTATCTATTTGATTTAGATTAGTCTCACATCTGATCTAAAATATTATCTAAATGATTAATAAATTAAATAAAAATGACTAAAATATTATGTTTGTTGTAGGGCTACCTGCTCTGGTCTGAAACTGATATAGTATTGGAATGACCCAAGGGTGAATCCTAGAAGAAATAAGTTAGCTAGAATGGGGTTTTGGAATGATTTTAAGAAAAAGATGTAGAGGTTGCTTAGGTTAAGAAGGGTCTCGGGGATGAACTGCAACTTCTGCATGTTTGTCCCATAACTGTGAAAAGTTTTGAATTGGGGATTGGGAAAAATAGGTCTAGGGTTGAAATTTAAAATGACTTTTTTTTTGTCAAATTGTAGATTTGTCCTATGTAGATGTAAGTACTGATCAAATTTGGTGTAGTTCAGAGTACTAAAACCAAAATTATGGGCTGTGAAGAAAATCGGAAGTTACTTTGGGATGGGTGGAAGAGAAAAGGAATCATTTGGTAAACTGGAGGACAGAGCTCTGCTTGGGAAGTGGATTTGTATGTATCAGGGTTCTCTTTGTACTTAAGTAGTTTGTAGCAAATATGGAAGAAACTCTCTTGAAAGGGGCAGTACTCAACCTTTTCTGAGCTACTTGCTTGATATCGTTGGAACGGTATCCTTCTTCTCCAAAGCACCTTCAAGCCCTTCATTAGATTTAGACTGGGTAATGGCAATCAAATCAGATTTTGGACTGATCTCTGGTGGTTTAATAAACCCCTATTAGAATCCTTCCCTTATTCTTTTTTGTCAGAGATAAACAAGCCCCTGTTCTTCAACCATCCTTAGGGCTAACAACAACCTCACTTACAACTTCAATTTATGTAGAGCCTTTAGAGGTACTGAAATCTTGGACATCTTGTCTTCTCTCCTCAACTTCTGAAGCCTTTTGTCCCCTTCTCCCAAGACAAGCTAATTTGGTCCCTCACCCCAACAGGCCAGTTTTCCTCAGGCTCTTATTTCTATAAGCTTAGAGCTGATCCCCCTCCCCCTGCTTTCCTAGACAAAAGGATTTGGCTCTCTTCTGTTCCCACTAGAATTACCTTTTTTATTTGGGAGGCTTCTTGTGGCAAATGGAACACCTGTGATGTCTTGTAAAAGAAATTTCAGGGAAAGTATAAGAGAGAAGATCTTGTCCTTAATTTTTTTCCTGGTTGCTGGCCAATAAGCTGTTCTCAAGCTTTTAACAAAGATGGCTACTATGGAATTGGCCATAAATTCTGTTCAAATCCCCAGCTCCTTCCCCTGCAGTAGGTACCCTTTCCCCAGGATAGAGTTTGGCTTTTTTTTTTTTTGATCAGCAAAATGAGTTTATTAATTAACATTTATCAAGTTTATTAATTAATGTTTGAGAAAGATACAAAGTTTTAGCTACAGTGCTACACAGTAGCTCAAAAACTCAACAGAAAAGTACCTTGCCCACCCTATTTTGGTTTGCCATCCCCCCTTCTTTTATTACCACAGATTACAAAATTGCCCAAAATAATATGGATCTTTCTGCTCCCTGTTTTGCTAGGACATCTACCAACTCATTTACTGTTCTTTCTTTTTTCTTTTTCTTTTTTTTTCTTTTTTTTTTTATGGATGGCATTTGCTGTTCTTTTTACCCAGCCAAAACTAGAGTTACAACTTTTGGCACGAAATGACCAATAAGGAGTCTCTCTCTACTTCGAGCTCTCTAACACCCAGCTGTATTGCTAGCTTTAGTCCTCATAATAGGGCCATTATTTCAGCCTTACCCAAGTCTCCAAAACCAATTGACCCTGAGAATAAGGCCACTACTACTCCTTGATGGTTCCCCCTATAGCTGCTCTCCCCGGATTGCCAAAGGAGCTCCCATCAAAATTTAGTTTCAGTTTATTTGGCTCTGGAGGTTTCCATTCCATTCTTACCGCTTTGTGTACATCTGTTTGTGTCACTTCAGTCCATTTCCATAATGAGGGAGAGTGGCTACTTGCAGTTTGATGGTAGCTTTAGAAGATCCTTTGTTTCCCCCACTCAGCAGCAGGAATCGGTGGTATCATCCAGAACTTAAATGGAGACATTGTGTGGGTTTATAGTGGTCCAGTAACACTCCACTGATAGATTACACTTTAGCTCCTTAGCCCCTTTGCTGTTGACGGTGATTCTAGGAACACCATCAAGTGGGTAAAGGCATGGAGGAAGGACCATGGAGAACTATCGTCCTAGCTGAACTGTTCTTTCAGATGGATCCCCCATTAGCTTAATCATGCAGCAGATAATTTATCAAAGCTAGTTTTGGGAAGGGATATTTAGTATGGTCCTGATTCAATGCTTTCTTTATTGTTTCAGGCCTTCATTTTGTCTTTGAGACCTTTTGTACATCTCTTATGTACATACTTGGGAGTAACAGAATTTGGGGTTTTAGGTGGATTTTTGAGATGAAACATAGTGAGATGAACATGAAAGGTAATAAAGGTCTATGGGGAGTGCCCAAGAATGAGACCAATTGGACATGGCTTTGTATAAAAGACAAAAACTGCCAAAATGGAAATATGTAAGCTTAAAAAAATTAGGTTTAGACTCAATGAGCACCTAGAATCACTCTAGGATTTATGTGAATCGATCAGCATGAGCATAATGTGCAGAAAACTGAATTTATTATCATTCCAATATCAGTCTCCACATTTTTGACTCCACATATTATCTACGTAATATATAGGAGTGTCTGATCCTACTAGAACTAGGAAACGTGGAAATTACACAATTGCTACTGTCATAAGAGAACATGCTAATTCATACATGACTTCGCAAATGACTAAAATTTTGAAAACAATCTAACTACAATCAAACAAATCTAACTGTATGGCTATGCCCCCATATAGAACATGTAAAGTGACCAAAGTATCCCAACAGTTTAAAGATATATAAAAATTTGGAGAATTCCAATTTTAACTCTGTCTCCTGCATCAGTATTACTTAAATAAAGTGAATTAGAAATGAGTTTAGTTTTATTTGTTGAGTACAATGACTTAAAAATGTAACTTCTAAGACTTGAACCTATGACCCCTGGGAAAAAAAAGACACACATCAAACCTACTTTGCTAATAATCATATTAATTTTATATGGATAAAATTATAATATTGTTGGATTTGGACCTACTTAATCACATTAGGTGATTCATAGAGAAGATGAACATGTAACATAATGATTTCTTTCATGACTTGTGTAATGCCAAGGTTCAGAGTATTGATACCCTTGAGATGCAAATTTTTATGTATTGAGAGTTTTGAATCATTGACACTCTTACTTATTATTACATTTTTTTGACTAGTTGATAGTGGAAATAGAATATGCAATTTTTGTCTATTAATGATTGAACGTTGAAAGCTTTAAAAAGCTTAGACTTTTAATAAAGCATGTATTGGTGACCCTGAAAATCAATACTTATCTTATGATACACTGATAACTATTGATACCTTGAGCCATGTATAATATATTGATATCTAGATTCTGGATAATATTGTGACTTGTTTAGAATGACTTGTCAGAATAAATTCTTGCCTAGGTTCAATATGTCTTAATGGGTTTCACTAATGTTTTCTTTTTCAATTTTTCCTTTTGTTTTATTTTTGATGGAATGTTTCTAGCAGCATATTTTGGTGTTAAAAATGATTATCCACTCTTTTAAATTATTCTTGAAGATGATTGAGCAAGAGAGGAGGGCCAAATATCTCAAGTAGAAAAGTGAAGAAGAATGTTTGCCAAACTGGAGTATGATAAAGTGGCATTACTGAGAAGTGATTATGTGGAGACAAAAGGGAGGGGGCAACAACACTAAATACTTTCATAAGATTGCATCTACTAGAAGGAGGAGAAACTCTTCTGAAACATCGATAGTGAATGGAGAAGTGGTGGAAGAAAGAGTAAAATCAAGAATTGCATACCGGATATTATGAAAATTTATACAAGACTGAAAATTCAGATTTAAGGCCCAAGTCTTTTTTGGTGATGCATGATTCAGACTCAAGCTTGATGGCCTAGATTTTGACATCATCTCAGAGGGAGTTAAAGGAAAAGGAAGTTAGAGAAGCAATCAAAGGAAATGGAAGGGGATGGAAGTCATGAGACTCCAGGACCAGATGACTTCACCATGCCATTTTATAAACATTGTTGGGACTTCCTAGAGGTGGATATCATGCTTCAACAGCTTTGGAAAGGAGTTTAAACTCAGCCTTCATCACCCTAATCCCATAGAAAGAAGGGGCAGAACAACTAAAAGATTATAGACTAATCATCATAATTTTTTTCTTTCTGAGAAAGTAAAAGTACATGAGAAGATGTTCAAGAAGGCTAAAGACTCAAAGAGTTATGCAGGAAGAGAGCTGTCACTAAAAAGGCAATCCCTGTGAACACCACCCTTTGCTAGACTATCAGCTGCAGTGATTAGCTCCCTAGGGACCCAGCCCAAATGTGCCTCCAAAGTGGAAATGATGTCTCTTGCTTCAGACAATTAATGAGCTAAAGCCCAGGGACCACTATCAGGAACAGCTAAGCAATTAATAGTATTAGCAGACTCTCCTTTGATGGTGATATTCAAATAACCCAGGTCTCTTGCTATCCGGATACCAGTTAAGGCTGCCAAGGTTTCATCCTTTGTTGAAGAGGCTATCCCAATTGGTCCACTGAAAGCCCAACTAATGTTTCCATCTATTCCTCTAAAAACCTCCAATTCCTACTTCACCTGGATTACGAAAGGCACTTACATTGAAACACAAGGTTATCTCCCCTTCCTCAGAGACTGTGAAACTATGGGGGGTAGTGAAGTACACATGTTTGGAATATAAAAAGTTTACTGCATTCCTTTGAAGATCAGAAATAGAGATTCCTTTAAAGTACTCTGAACTGGAAGTCCAAAGGAAGCATCTATAGTTCTGTTGTTACAAACATTGTTGTTTCTCTCTTCCCAAATGCTCCAATGAGTAGCATGAGCAACAGATTGCCGCAACGCCTTTCCTCTTTTACTGAAGCTTCTTCCCATCCATTGTCTTAAGAAGTCTGCCACATGTTTTGGGAAAACCCAACTATAATCGAAAAGGGTGAGGAAAAAGTTCCAAAGTTTTCTGGTTCCTCATAGTGAAGCAGGATATGGTTTGCTGATTCCCCAGTTTTCTCAACAGAAGCAGCAGACACGTGGGGAAAAATAAGATCTTCTAAGGTTCTTTTTTTGAAGAAGGCTGTAAATATTGATTCTCTGCAAGGTGGATTCCCACACACACACACAAAAAAAAAAGGAAAAAAACCTTGGAAGGGATATGGGAACACCAAGCTCTGTTGAAGGGGAACTAATAATGTGTGTGCTCTTTATCAATTAAAGTCTTGAAGCAAGACTTGGTTGAGAACTTACCTCCTGGGTGAAGGGTCTGGACTTGAAGGTCAGAGCAGTGATTTAAAAGGCGTGCCTCAAGCGCGCCTAGGCACACAAACGAGGCACATTTTAGGGTATGCCCCTCGCCCAGGTCCTAGGTGCACCCTTTTCAAATGGTCCATACCTGGTGCGCCTGATGTGCCTTGCGCCTCAACCCAGGCGTGTGCCTTTTTAAATTTCTGTGCTTTTTGTTTTTTTAAAACTCTTGTTCGGGCTTGCTTCGAGGGGCATGGTACAAAGGTGACTCATAGAATCAAGAATGCAATATGTTTTACATCACTTTACTTGAAGTAATGCAATTGAGGAAAAAAAGAGATTGTGGGTTTTACATGCTTGAAAATGCTTTATATGCTTGCTTTTATTTTAAAATTTTCATTTGAATACACTTTACATTGGTATGTTTATGTATTTTAATATTAGATAATAGGTTTTTTAAAACATTTATTTTAAAATTTAAGTTTAAATTTTTTATTAACATTATGTTTTTTTTTTTTGAATTTTTTTACCTTTTTTTTTTTAAAACACTAGGTCAGAGGTGTTTGGGGAGAGATATACCTCTCTAAGGGTGTGCAGAAAACTAGTAACTTCACTGAGTTCCATGGCCTTAGTGGTCTTCTAAGGTCTAGATTCCAGTTGAACTAGGGAAGGGTTGAAGGCAAAACATGGGAGACGTGAGCTTCTTGGTTTAGAGTAAGGCTGAAGAAACGAGGGAAGGAATTGGCCAAAGTAGAGTCACCCCATCATTTATCAGTGCAGAACTTAATCCTATCCCCATTGTCCACTTTATATCTGATGTATGAGATAAAGAAGTTGTGAGTTGAGATTATATCTTGCCAAGGTATAATCTCAACTGAATATTGCTATCCCAACTGTTGGCGTGCTTCCCATACTTGCTAGAGATGACAGTAGTCCAAAGAGCATTTGTTCCTGAGGGAATCTCCACAACCATTTGCTAAGAAGAGCTGTATTTCATTCCTTCAAGTAATCTACTCCCAAGCCGCCACCCTCCTTAGGTTTGTACACTTGAGACCAACTCACAAGGTGAGATCCCTTTCTGTAGGAGCATATATAAAATCATTGCCAAGGTTTTAACAAAGAGGCTGAAACCTGTTTTGGGAGTATCATTTTGGAGAGCCAAGTTCTTTTGTGGAAGGAAGGTTAATGGTGGATGGGGCGGTAGTAGCTAATGAGCTGATTGATTCTAGGTTGAGAAGTGGAAGGGCTGGTTTGTTATGCAAGGTAGACCTAGAGAAGGCCTATGATCAAGTCAATGGGATTGTTTTTGGATTATGTCCTTGCAAGAATGAAATTTGGCTCCAAATGGAGTAATTGGATGAAGGTATGTGTTACTACCCCTTCTTTTTCAGTTTTGCTAAATGGAACATCTTGTGAGAGTTTCAAAATGACAAGGGGGGCCACTCTTATTTTTCCATTTTTCTGTGTAATGGAAGCTCCAAGCCAAAGATGAAAAGGGCTAAGTTTGGTGGTTTCATAGAAGGTTTTACGGTGGGAAATGAGAGAGTGGAGGAATCTTTGCTTCAATATGCGGGTGAGACCCTTCTTTTTTGTAATGCTTCTCATGAGCAGCTGCAATATATCATGGTTGTTCTGAGATGGTTTGAAATTGTTTCTAGATTAAAAGTAATCTGCATAAGAGTGAGTTGATAGCCATGGGGGAGGTGCAGGAGTTAGCCCAATGGGCAGAAGAGTGGGGTTGTAGGGTGGGAAGACTACCTATAAAATACTTGGGAATGCCTTTGGGAGCTAAATGCATCTAAAATCAATTTTGCGACCAATTGTGGAAAGGATTGATAGGATATTGACATCTCGGAAAGCCAAATACCTTTTGTATGGAGCAAGGTTCAAAATTTTGATATGCATCATATGGGTGGCCTCCCGATACGCCCCTACAGTGGGTGTTTCGGGGTCTGACCTGGTTCAGGGGGTAGACGGGCCTTAGACCGACCTCTCTGAACCAGCTAAAAAAACTGAAAAAAAAAAGCAAACCAAGATACAGGCTGATACACCCCAACTGGTGTATCGACCTGTATCAAAATTTTGAACCTTGGTTTGGAGGTAAGCTTACTTTGTTGAAAAGTGTATTGTCCTCACACCTCATGTATCTTCTATCATGTGTCTTTGACCAGCCAGTGGTAGTATACATTATATATATATTTTTTCTCATGTCCTTAGTTTACTGCATTTTTCTTAGTAAATTTTGTTTATCTGTTACCAATAAGAAAAATGAAAACAAAATAAAATGGTCAATTACTGTACTTCAGGTTTTGGCTGCAGTAATTAAAGCAGGGGCAGCAAGAGAGCATGAAATCCTTGCCGAAATCAGAGATGCTGTTTTTTCATTTATTCGTAAAATGGAGCCTAGGAGAGTGATGGATACTATGCTTGTATCTCGTGTTAGAATTCTGTACATAAGATCTTTGCTTGCTAGATCACCTGAACTGCAGTCCATCAAGGTAATGGAACATAAAGCTGCACTACCTTCTCTTTCTTTTAGTTTGATTGTTGAGAATATACTTGTTAGTGTTGCATCTCCTACAGTTATAAGGGTGGGTGAATTGCCTGCTGTCTTTTGTTTCATAGGTTTCTCCAGTTGAACGCTTTTTAGAGAAAGCCAATACTGGCCGCAGTAGGAGCTCCAGCAGGGGCAGTAGTCCCGGCAAGTCTCCTGTTCGTTATGACTCCAGTACAAGAACTTCTCTGGTTGATGAGCACATCCATGGTTTTAAAGTAAATATAAAGCAAGAAAAGAAATCCAAGTTCTCATCAATCGTCTTGAAACTCCGAGGAATTGATCAGGTACCTGTAGTCAACTCTTCTGGTGTGCTTTTTGGCTCATCTTCTGTTTTATAGAGGTGAAACATTTTATCGTTGTGTCTACCACTCTATGTTTATTAATATTGTAACTTAATTGCACATTCCTATGTCAATTTTTTCATTGTGTTTCATCGGTTTTTCCAGTATCATTTTATTCAACAGGAAAAGTTCTTCCAACTTCACTTTCAGTATGGTGCATATATGTTGTGTTATGCATAAAAAAATGAAAATCATTTTCATCTGACCTCACCTTGAATTTGTTAGACAGTTTTGTATGCCCTTAGCTTCAATCATTTTGATGTACTTTTGTTATTTAGTGGAAATAAATAAAGTGCATGTTTGATTCATGTTGTTTGGTTTAATTCTGTGTAAAACCCTAAAACTGGACATTT